GGACGCACTGGCACACAGCTGGCCGCGGGGCCTTCGCAAGTATGCGTTTCCCCCAGTGAGCCTTCTTGCACAGTTGCTGTGCAAGGTCAGGGAGGACGAGGAGCAGGTCCGGTTGGTGGCACCCTATTGGCCTAGGCCTGGTTCCCGGAACTAATGCTCCTCGCGACAGCCCCTCCTTGGCCGATGCCTCTGAGGAAGGATCTACTGACTCAGAGACGGGGCACCCTTTGGCACACGCGTCCAGACCTCTGGAAACTTCATGTCTGGTCCCTGGACAGGACGCGGAGGTTCTAAGTGACCTACCTCAAGGGGTAGTTGACACCATCACTTCAGCGAGAGCACCGTCTACGAGACACGCTCGTGAGGCTTTCTCCCTCCACCCTCAAAGTTTATGTCACTGCAATCGCTGCTAACCACGACCCCGTAGAAGGGAGGTCGCTGGGGAAGCATGACCTGGTCGTCAGGTTCCTTAAGGGGGAGAGAAGGCTAAATCCTCCACGGCCCCTCTATACCCTCTTGGGACCTGACTCTAGTGCTCACAGCAGGGCCCATTTGAGCCTTTGCAGACGGTCGAGCTGAAATTTCTCTCTCCTCAGATGCCACCCCATGAGGATCTGTCTCCAGCTGCAGTTCCCGCCCCAAGAATAGACAAGAGCTTCTGCCACAGACCAGCCAAACTGCTCATTCCCACCCTGAATTGTGTCAGCCCACTGGACCTGAGCCCCCGGTGAGAAGAAACTAGAATTCGTTATTACTTTTTATTATTTAATTTTGTACAATTATTTTTGACATAACGTCTAGAACGAGGAAACATCCATATACAAATATTATTGATGCTTAGAGCAGATACAGTAATATTGATTACTGATGCACTAATATCCTCTTGTCTGTCCTGTAGTGTTGTCGATGGCATTGAGGATAACGAACATGCTTTTCACTTCAATGTTGAGCACAGTGAGCCATCTCCTAACACAGAGGTCAAAGGTGAGGTGGATTATCCCTTAATATTAGACTAGTGCATATTATGGTTTAGATCAGTGGTTCTCAACCTTTTTTACTCCAAGACCCCTCACTGTTCATATTTTAGGGTTTGACATAACTAGAAAAGAATTTGTCGAGGCCAGCTGATTGAGAACTATTGGTTTAGATTTACTGTTGAAATGCTTTTGTATAAAACACTGTGTAAGTTTTTAGACTAATAATGATAATTCGGTCATATTTTGTTATTAAATTATATTAATGAAATTAAACTTTTCAGTCCCTACAGGATTTTGTAATCTTGCAACTGCAAATAGGGTAAAAAGAATGTAATATCAGCCAATCAAAATCCATAAATCCCACACCAATCAAACAGACCCTTTCACTAAATGTCAACACGCTGTTCACATGTCTTCACTGTACTATTACGTGATTAATAGGCAATGGCATTGCAACTGACAACCTGTAAGGTCATCATGGTCACACTTTAAATAGTGTTCTATTATTGAATAAAGGTCAAAAATGGTTTGGCCATTACCCAAATGTTCCTTTGCATGTAAACACCTTTATTGGCATTCTGGCAGCTTGTTCAGCGTGCACATTACTTTCGACAGTTATCGGTGTTTTGATGTACATGTACAGTAAACACACTCATTATGTACATTTAGGTCTCTGTTAATTGTACTCCTATTGTCACTGACAAATACAAATACATAATTGTTATTGGTTCACTTTCACTGCAAAAAAAAAAAAAACTGAGAAAACTGCTGCAAATTCAGTCATTTTAGGTTGCAATAATTCAGGGGGCAGGAAATTAGATCCCGGTGGAAATCCGGATGTATATTATATTATGATACATTTTGCTTAAAAATTGTCTGTTTCTTACTACTTTTGGTCTTTTTAGACCCGTTTCAGGTTGGTGCAAACCTTCTCCTTGAGACAGAGGAGGTCAGACAGAGTCTCCGTCAACTCAATACAGAGGTATCCGGAAAAACCTACTGTTAATCAAAAAAAAAAACTTTTAAATAATAGTTTTTCTTAATATGAAATAGTATTTCTGACATTTATCACCGTTATTTGTCATTCACTATATTCTGACATCAAATTTTGGTGTGTGATTCTGTTTCAGATGAACCACCTGAACCAGGAAGTGTCCTCACTGACCAAGGAGCTCCACGAAATGATGCAATTCCTGCATTCGCATGTGACCCAACCTCACTTCACTTCCTCTTTCACTCCCTTCAGCTCTTTCAGTTGTCATACATCATCCAACTGTACCAACGTGGCCTCCTCGACCAGCGACTGGCCATCCAGGCTGGCCTTTAACATGTCTGCCGGTCCTTGCCTGCAGCCGGAGGCGTCTCGGAGAGATTCTTTAGGATCCAGGCACACATGCATTTGCAGCGGGAGCCATACCCAGGAAAGAGGCTCCGTCTTGGGGCAGGAAGAGGACATAGAGCTCCTCCATCAAGCTCCCAGTCCTCACTCAACCTATTTTCCCTGCTGCCCTGACCAGGAAAGGGTCGCCACCTTGGGTGTAGAGAGTCAGCCAAACTCATATCAGACTTCTAAAACTACACCCAACTCTCCTTATCTAGGACACCATGTTCCTCGCAATGGCGGGTCACTCTTAGGCTTGGCGGCATTTCCGTCCAGTGGTTTGGCTCCTCAGGTTAGGAGTGGGAGTCCTGGTAACACATTGTCTCTGTGCACCCATAACATCCAGAGTCAGTCGCATCCATCTTTAAACGTACAAATGACTTCTGACCTGCACACCAGGGCGCCCACACCCATCCATTTATCGGTTACACCAACTGGCCCATCAGAGCCTCTTATAGCAGTCAGTTCACTTTTGCATTCTGGGATTTGTAGTTCCAGCTTGCTGCATTTCCCCACAGGTCCGAGACAGAATGACCTGGTGGGATCGAGTCCTGTTCACACACTTGAGCCCATCGTTTCATCTAATGGAGAGAAACAGGGGAAACCAGGACCTGCTGAGGAGCGACACAATGACTGAGCCATCGCTGAGCAGGAGTGATGGACATATTAAGAGTATTCTAACATACTCTTTGTCTGCTGCATGGATAATGCCCCCATTTTAACCAAATGCAATGCATTGTGGGAGCCGTGTATGTGGGTTATGCTAGATACGCACGATAATGTGCAGAACCGTGCCTATTGTTTCAAAATCGCCTCTTTTTTGATTTGAGTAGGACTTAAAGGTCTATGAGTCATGCTTAATTGTATTTAGGTTAAATCTGTTTCCACTGGTTGGATTTATTTTACTCCATATGGCTTGATTTTACATTGGCAGTTGTACAGTGCAGGTTTTGTATAATACGGTGTCCCTTAGGACTGAGTCATAGATTACGAAGAGCCAGAATTTACAGGCTGTTATCACACGGCATCTTTTTCAAAGCCTCATTTTAAAACACTTTTTTAAAATGAGACCTAATTTCATGATTTTGTAACAGAAGATTAATCGCATTTTATTTCCATTTTCAAGTGTGTTAAAGGGATGGTTCACACAAAAATCTAAATTCTGTCATCATTTACTCACCTTCATCATCATTTCAAACTTGTACGACTTTCTTCTGTGGATCATATGGCAGAAATTTCATTTTGTAAGTGAACTATTTCTTTATATAAAAAAAACTATTTATTAAAGCATGTACAGAACAATATAAATGTATTTTTGTTGCTGAGCCTCTTTTCTTTTTTCATTGTCGGAAAGAATATTGAAAAAACTTGATTTATTCTTTCTCTTCATATATCTTTTCTGGGTCTCTTTCATACCCCTATTGTTAAATAAATCTTACATTTCCTTATCTCTCGACTGTGCCTGACTAAATTAAATGACTTGGGGTTGTAAAAAAGGCATTTACCTGTTGAAAATGCCCTCTTCAGAGAATAAACCACGAATCTGTTTGCCAGCCATTGTTCATTTAAAGAGGTCATATGATGTTGCTAAAAAGAACATTATTTTGTGTATTTGCCAGCTATCCAGTGTGTTGTGATTGGCTGAATACCTCAAGCGTGTGACGGAAATGTTACGCCCCTTACCATACTGTGATGCCCTGTCCGGCCGGAGCGACGAGACAAAAACATTAAAACCCATTATAAACAAGGCATTTGTTGCATCCAGTGGGGACATAATTACGGATTATAATGAATTGTACTGTCTTTTTTTATGTTTACGCGGTTTTATGCCGCGTAAACATAAAACCATGTCTGCATTTGTGATCAGAGAAATGACAAACAACAAGCGCTACTCAACACTGCTCAAAACTCGCTTTTGAACCGTCATTGGCAAATCCTTTAAATATAAAAAAGGCATGGCGAAGCGGATATCGTCCTCTTTTGGAAGGCCAAACAAAGTAGTTTCGCTTTCACAACGAAACACACAGCGTCTCCACGACATGGTGGCGGCAACAACAATACTACAGCGAGAATAAACGCCCTCTGTCTTTGCGTGAACATCGTGACGTAGACATGTGGGGGCGTGTTAGAACGAGCCGTTTTAGGTAGGCGTGGTTGACTCTTAACTTTTATAAAGAATATCTCTTTGGATTTGAGACTTTAGTCTTTGCAACTTTACAGATCTTCTTTATGCACCAAGAGCTTGTAACACTCCAAAGAGAAAGGAAAAAGTGAAATCGCATCATATGACCCCTTTAATGGAGTAGATTTGATTGGCCTATTACATGCGAAACCAGGCTGTCCATACTTAAATTAAAAAACAAAAACGTTGCATTGGCACTTAACAAGGCTGCTTTGTGGTCGATAGCAGCAATATTTTAAGCTCTACAGTACTTCTCAGGCTGATCAATTCTCATAAAAAAAGAGAGAATACTGGCACCCTTGATAAATATAAGCAAAACAGGCTGTGAAAAAATGTTTTGTTTATCCTCTTGGTCTTTCATTCAACATATCCACAAAAATCTAATATTTAATTACAGGTATATAAGAAAATGCCACATGAAAAGACTATTATGTGAAACTGTCCAAAATCAACATGGTAACTGTTGTTTTATTATTCAGCTGAACATCAGAATATGCTTAACCTCACACAGAGGCGGACTTAACCATTAGGCAAAGGTAGGCGACCGCCTTGGGCCCCCTAAAATGCTTTTTATATGCGAGATGCGCGTTCAGTGCGGACGCACAAGTGGTTGCGCTGGTGTTCATTAGCACGACAACCGTCTGTGCGTCCGCGTTGAACGTGCTTCTGAGCAAAAGTAGGGCGATGTAGAAAATGGGGACGGAATCCCGGAATCTATTCATAAAAACGGAATTTACTGTGTAACGCCGAATGGGACAGAATGAACGGCGCAGACGCGCGTTTCGTTTGCTATTGCACGCGCAACGCTCGCGTCCCCAGGCCGATATATGCCTCATGTCAACATTTCATGAAGGATATATATTTCTATATCTACATATATGCATCTTTTTCTGCTGCTTTTATTTGAAACGGAGCAGGAACATTGACTGATGGCGCTAGAGTTTGGCCAGTATGTGGTCAAATAAGCCCGGTCTCATGAAAATGCATAGCCTATAAATAAATAGTATACCAAATCGAAACATAAACGTGTGCTATTGATACGCAAAAAGTGACTGGCGTGCATATGATACGCACGTGTTTGACGTGCATACGCAGTTTTTGCGTGCATATGATACGCAGTTTTCGCGTACATGTGATACGCATCAACCCACAACCATAATCCTACCTATTGCGTATATGCACGCCAAAGTCAATTTCTGCATAAAAATAGTACGCCAAATCGAAATATAAACTCGTGCTATTAATACACACTTTCATGAGATCGTAAGCCTATTTTGTCACCAGAGTGCCAATCTTTTGGCCATAGTGAAGGAAATGTGTTTTTTTTAAAGTGCATTCAACTGAATGCGTAATATTTCTCGGATAATGAGCAGAAACAGTTGCTGTATGTCTGAGTAAAATTTAGCACGGTTATTAATGGCATAAAGCAGTTGTTGATAATATGGCAGCATATTCGCCGAGATGCTTCCTCGAGAAGATTTGGAAGACAGACGAAAGTTATGGCCTCAAATTGAACAAGCAAGGAGGGCAGGAAAACCGGCGTTTTTTCGCGGTCCATATGGCTTCATTGAAGGTCGACGGATATATTTTGACGGGTGAAGTGTTTCGTTTCTAATTGACTGGTAGTTGGAAACCTTTTCAGTGGGACACTAGAGCTCTATTTGTAAGTTAAGGTTCATAGAGTGAGAGTGTGAATTCAAAAGGGGTGGTTTAATTTGTGCTTTTATTTACTATTTGTTTTTTGTTTTTTTCCATTTTTCAGTTTTAGTGTTCATGATTACGGACAAAATTGTATTTGGTTCTCTGAATGTTAGGGGCTTAAAGGACACTGTTAAAAGAAAAGCGTTTTTTTTTATTTTGCAAAGGACAGAAAGCTCATTGTGTATTTCTACAAGAGACTCATTCTTCGGGTTTGGATACCTCTTTCTGGACTAATCAATGGGGTGACAAGATTTTTTTCAGTCATGGTTCTAATCGTTCTGGAGGAGTGGCAATATGCTTTAACAAATGTCCTGGGGAAGTCATCACTCATAAAGAGGATGGAAGCGGTCATTGGTTGATGGTGGTACTGAAAATTGATGTTCTTTTTTTCATTTTAATTAATGTTTATGGCTTTAACAATGCAATTCAAAACCAGAAATTAGTAGAAGAGATTTCTAATATTATTTCAGAAACTAAAGTGCTATACCCAACGGAAAATATTTTGGTTGGAGGGGACTGGAATATGGTTCCAGATGAGTGGAAAGACAGATGGCCACCTAGACTTAACAAGGGACGGCTTAATGTTAGTGTTTAATATGTATAATTTTTGTACTAATATGTACCTTTAAAGTCCTCGTGAACCGGAAGTTGCTTACTTATTTCAGTGTAGTGACGTATTTCCAGCTGAAACGGAATATTGAATAGAGGGCATGGTTTTATTTTGGCGCTCCTCCTCTCTGTCTCTCACTCGTAGCAATCTAACGGTTGGAGGAGTGTGTTTAAGAATATTCTGTTTGACGTCATCAGAGAAGGAACGCCATTCCAGAGCGGAAGTAAATGTTCAGAATCTGATTAAAGATTACCGAAAACAAACCATTTTTTTTCAGCGGATTAACTTGCACGGATTAATTGTTAACATGAAGACTAGCAATGTGCTCTATTAAAGTAAATAAAGTCTATTTTGATTTCATGACGACTTTAAGGTATTAAAATGCACTCTTTGTGGGTAAATAAGGTACAAAGTGTAGGCTACCGTAAGGCACTGCCCCAAGATTTTGTACCTTTTTTTCTGAACTACATTTTTTAAATTAATAAATTGCTATTAATAATTTAAAATGATCTAAAAGCAACACATACAATTTAAAAGTAATACTTTACAATAAAGTTTTATTTTTAAAATACATTGGCTAACTAGGCTACATTACTTATCATGAGCTAGCCACGAAAAAAGTAATCTGTTAATATTAACTTTTATAAAGAATATCTCTTTGGATTTGAGACTTTAGTCTTTGCAACTTTACAGATCTTCTTTATGCACCAAGAGCTTGTAACACTCCAAAGAGAAAGGAAAACTTGAAATCGCAACATATAACCCTTTTAATGGACATGAACTAATAATAAAGATTTATATTTTTATGAAGTAACATTAACAAAGATATTTCTAACAAATTTAAAGTAACAAATGTATTGCTGTTGTTAGTTAATGTCAGTTATTGCATTAACTAATGTGAACTAGTGGGACCTTATGAATGGTTGTGGTTTTAATTGAAGAACAAACAGTTCTTAAAACTTGTGGAATCACTAAACGATTTGTGTGTTTAATAAATGTAACATATTAACACTTTCTGTTTTTTTTGATAATTATTTTAAAAACAAGCAGCTTTGTCGCAATTGTAGCATAAATATTAGAAATACTTAAAATATCTTAGTCTATTTTTGGTTTGAATATTGAGTTGGACAACTTGGCGGTTGGTGCCTTCAAGTAAATAAGGTTGAGAATCACAGCCGTACTTTACCTGACAGAAACCATCGGCGTTTGACGAGATAAAAAAAAAATCAATTTAAAGTTGAATTAGCCTGTGGCGCCCCAGCTTGGTGTTACTGGTTAGTACATGATCTTGAGCCACATGCATTGCTGATCTTGTTTTCATGTAAAGCTTGTTTTGATATAACAACAAACAAGGGTCAGTTTTCCAGCACAAGTCTACAGAGCAGACCTACAGTACATATTTGATCTTGATGTGGCATCTTATTACCTTATTATTATTATTATTAAATATGATAAATGACTGCACACCCACAGAATTCAATTCGGTTCAAGTTTATTTGTATAGCACTTTTCACGATACAAATCGTTGCAAAGCAACTTTACAGCAAATTAAGTTTCTACAATATTTAGTGGTAGCTTATCAGTGGTGACTGTCAGTTAATGTACATATGGCAGAAATGTACGGAAAAATCAATTAAAGAATCCCTATCTTAACTGACTTATGTGGTT